CGAACAACAGCGTACCTGTATTAAATAGATCATTCAAGAAGCAGTCCGCGACTCCTACAGCATCCGTTCTTCAAAACAGACACTATCTTCCCCCTCGTCCTGTTTTTTCTGCGCTGCTACCGATCACAAGACAGAGGACTGCACGAGTGACATGACTCTGGCCGAGAAGCGCAACAAACTTGTAACAGACGGTCGATGCTTCCGGTGCACGTCAAAAGGACATCTGGTCCGCAATTGCCGGCGGAGAGTGCACTGCCAAGCATGCAAGCGCAGACACGCCTCCTCGATGTGCAATGCTAGTAGTTCTGAAACACCATCAGTGACTAATGCTCAGAAGAAACCGAATGCTACGGTGCAAGTTTCCACTCAGAGAGCTTCAGTTCCCCGACTCATCAATGATGTTCTTCTCCAGACTTTTCGAAAAAGGCATAGACAACTAAACACAAATGTGAGCAAGTTAAATAAACAGTAGAGTGCCAAAGCACCCGCAGCGCCTTAGTGGAAATCTTTAAGCAAGTCGAAAACATCATGTCTCACAATCTTTAGAATGTATGTAACTACTTAGCATTATGTAATATGTATACGAGACATCTATGACAAGATGATGGGTGCGGTAGAATCAGAAACCTTTAGTTTTGGTTTAGGATACATCTAGAAGTGGTTCACAAAACTAATTTTTGAATGCCTCATGATAGCAACTTCTAGGCATACCAGGTTAATGCCTGCAACTGCTGCAAGGTGTTCCTCCGTAGAAAAAAGCCGGCTGCTCGAGCGCTCTGCTCAGACATAGATGTGGCTGTACATTATCAAGAGCACATTTGAAGCAGTATAGCAGAGAAACGGAGAACCACAAAGTGTAGTATGAGAGGTACAGTACAGTCTTGATGACAAGATCATCGTGGATATGAATTGCATAATATAGTAGAATCTCGATGATACGATTACAGTTGATGCGAATTTCGAGATGATACGAATTTTAAGATTCCTTTGGATAGACTACATTATCCAAAATACACCGTGATTCGGTGTTATAGAACCGAGATCGCCAGTCACTGCGGATGATGCGAACGCGCGATTGACCGCTGCACGTGAATGGCGCAACTTGGATTGTCTGTGGCGGGAAGGCCCATTCACACCATGCCTCGAAGAGAGTGAACGCGGCAAAACTCACGGGAATTTCCCCCGCATTGCCACCTAAGTGACCAGAAAACCACGCTGAGAGACTGACACAAAAAAATCTGCCTGAGACACATTTTTTCGCCACGCGATAGCAGATCGCCCATTTGCTTCATGGCATGGGCTACACCGGCTGCACTAGGTCTCAAACCACGTGATGTGAACAACGAGCCGCAAATTCAACATAGCGGCAAAGGCGGCGGCGGTTCGCGTCAGCGCAATCGCGAACTACCAACGCAGCACAACAAAGCTCATGAATTTTACAAGTACGCGTTCATCGAGAGCCTGGTTTGAATTATGATCGCTGCGAACACCCGAAGTCAAAGAAGGTGAAGCAGCAGCGAGTCGGCATGCCCTAACGTGCCTTGCTCACTTTTGTACTGCCGGCTGAATCCGTCGCCGCCGCTGCCGGTGCGTCTGCTCTTGTCGTTTCTACTGGTGTATCTCCCAAAGCAATGTTTTTATTGGTATAAACTGTTTCTTTGGAGTGCTTTGTATGCATAACTAGAACTCGGTACGAATTTTATTGCTCAGGAAATGGGCAAAATGGAATGAATTCTCAAGCAATTAAGGCAGCAGCGGTAGGCAGAACAAATGTGAGCAATTTTCGGTGGGCGCAGACATGGTTTCGTGGATGTTCTGGCATTTTCGCTTGAATTCTGGCGTATAACTGATTTTTTTTTCTGAGTCGACTTCGCGGCGCATTTTTCCAGCCGCTTAAGCCGAAAGCGAGTGATTTTCCAACAAGTTTTGCCGCTTTCCCTCCCTTTGATGACAAGTGCGAACGTGCTTTAAGCACCAGCAGCATGAGTGAGGAAACCGCGGCCATTTATTAAGAGGCGGTGAAAGCAGAAAAGGTAGAAAGATCATGGACTTCTTTTTAGCAAGTAGTAGTTGACCCCAATAAAGTTCCTGTTCATCTTTATAATCAGCTTTAACTGGTTTTTGGTTCACACAAATTTGGGATGATACAAATACTTTGCCTGCTCCCTTTAAATTCGTATCATCGAGATCTACTATACAAAGTTTAGAAACATCCCAGACAGACTACCGTATAAACCGGAATATAAGTCGAGATATTTTCAATAAAACAACGAGCTAAAGTCGCCCCTCGTCTTACATAGCGGTGTCTAGCCGACAGTGCACCACTGTCTGGCAACATGTGGTTTGCATGTGCATGAGAAGCTGGACACGGCCATGTTCGCATTCAAATCCAATAGCAGGTTGTTTTTTTTTCTTCTCTCTTGCCTGTTTTTTTTGTGTTCATGATTTTCCTCTGATCTGTTCTAAGTTCTCGCTCCGCTTGACATTGTGTTTCATTTTTAGCGGTCTTTTTTTTTGTTCACTGAATATGAGTAGCGGTATGAGAAGGCAGTACTCAGCTGCGTTTAAACTAGAGGTTGTTGAGTTCGCAGAAGCGAATGGGAATATGGCTGCTCAGCACCGCTTTGGTGTATCAGAAAAAAGCGTGCACTATTGGAGAGTGCAGAAAAGGAAGCTGCAGATGTGCAATCCTCGAAAAATGTCATTTTGTGGGCGAAGTGCGGTTGATCTGCAGCTGGAGAATACGCTAGAAAACTGTGGGAAGTTCATACGTGCTCGCTGCCAGTAACCGTGGATACCATATGCAAAAAAGATGTGGAACTTGCTCGAGAAACAGGGCTCATTAGAGAAGAGTTTCGTGCACCAAACTCTTGGGTGCGTCGATTCATGAGACGCAAAGGATTTTTTTCCGGTGGCGCATATCCATCTGTCAGAAGTTTCCAGACGAGTTCGAGGACAAGCTTATAAACTTTCAAGGCTTCCTGAACCGGCTTCGGGAGCAGAACAACTACATGATGGGGCAGATTGACAATGCCGATGAGACTCCCGTGTGGTTTGACATGCCTTCATCGACCATGATCATGCAGCGTGGCGCCAAGGATATGAAGATGTTGTCCACTGGCAACGAGCACTCGCGCTTCACCGTCATGCTGGCATGCATGGCAAATGGTAGAAAGCTTCCGCCCTTCATCATTTTCAAACGTAAGACAATGCCAAAGGAAGTGTTCCCACCCGGTATTGTCACTCGCGTCAACAAAAAGGGATACATGGACGAGGTCATGATGCTTGAATGGATACGAGTAGTCTGGAACCATCAGCCAGGTGCACTGCTACGTTTTTGCAACATGCTGGTGTTAGATGCGTTTTGTGGTCACTTAACCGACACTGTGAAGCACGCATTGGGCGATGAAAAAACGGACCTCCCCGTGATACCAGGTGGTATGACGTCTACCCTCCAACTGTTTGACGTACTAAACAAGCCGTTCAAGGACCGAGTGTGGCTGGAGCACCAAAAGTGAATGTTTGGTGACAACCCAAAGACACGACGGGCCGCCTACAGAGGCCTCCGCCTGCGACTGTTTGTGGCTAGGTGCTTTCCGCCTGGGGTTCTTTGCCAGATTCCATGGTGGAAAATGCTTTTAAGAAATGTTCCATTAGCAACTCGCTGTATGGCATGGAAGACAACACACTGCGGGAGGCGGCCAGCGACAAACTCTCGTCTTCAGAAGGCAGTAGTGCTTCGTCTGACGAATAGGAACAATTACGATGGTGGATGAGGGGACCTCCGACGATCGGGGTGCAGTGCGCTGAATTCGCAAATAAATGTCGTTCGGCAATTTTGGGTTGTTTTCCTTTTTTTTTTTTGGTAACCTGAACTTGGGGGGGTCGGCCTATATTCCCACTCGACCTATAGTCCGGTTTATACGGTATATCACATAGAGTACACTACAATACAGGTTGATACAAAGTGTTTCTGAGTAAGTTGTAGATGATGTGAATGCATGAACCATCAGCGCAGGAAAGTGCAAAACTGCAAAACAAAGTGCAAAACTGCAAAGCAACACAGGAACACTGGGCTGTTTCGCCACTTTTGAGGTCGCATTAATTTAACATGTTTTTAGAAGGCTTATATGGGGTATTGGTTTGGTGGAACTTTGGCAGTAACATGTATCAAAGTATTATTTTCATGTTTTATAAACCATGCCTGCATTGCATAATAGACGTCTTGCCCAGCAGTCAAGGGCCGATGTTGGCTCAACAAACTATGCAGGAGATTTATTTTTTTTGCTGGTAGTATTTGCTTTTTTTAGAAGAAACAATTATACCGTTTCTCCTAATGATGACATCAGACACACATTCAAAGATTATCATAACAGGACAAAGAATGCACAGGCACAAACATTGGGGCTAAGCAGAGCAGCACGAGACCAGGCGTGAGCCCAATTCCTCCAGTCTGTGAATTAAAATGGCATCAAAGCATCGTCCAATACATAATAAATGGCTTGATTTGAAAAAGCAATAGTCTGCTTCACCGTCACTTCATTACAGACATGGCAAAGGATTACCTACATGGATTGCTAAGGATATGTTCAGTCCAGTGCAACCTAATCATCGCCTCAACTCACCCTTGAAATAACTATCTGTTCTTCTTTAGGGTACGCAGCAGAAGTGGCTTGCATTTTGCTTTTCATGTGGCATATGTGGTACACATACAGATGCACCGACTACTTTTTTTTTTTCTTGGCACTCGTGCTCTATTTCCTTTCCTTGCGGGTACCCGGTAGTCAGATTGAATTGATTGATTGAATTGTCATAAGCAATAATGTGGCATGAGAAAATTTCATGATTTTTGGTGATAGCATGAGATTTCACTTCAGAGTGAAGATGAGGCTATCACGAGGCAATCATAGTTTCAAAATTTCAATTATAATTTTTTCCTTATATTAGAGTCTCATTAGTGCATAAGAAAAAGCGAAGATTTGAAAACAATATCTGCTTACCCTAAGCACAAGAAGGAACTCTCGGAGAAAGAGCAACTGTTGAGATGGGCTCTGAGCGCTTCGCTGTGCCAAGAGGCGATGAAATGCTTCCCTGGCACGAACTAATTGTTTTAGCTGTGCAGACTGCCGTCCAATAGTGAACTGCATATGACCCTCGGCAAGGCTCCAGCCACGGCCTTGATACACCTGCAGCAAAAAAAAAAAAATGATGTCTCAGTGTTCTAACCTAAATGTAACTGGATATATGTCGATTACTAAACACTCAAGAAAGCTCACACAGGTGCATCCACTTGCTCTGTTCTACCATACCTGGTTGGTGAAGGCAGTTTATTTAGGGCAGCACAGTGCTCTTCAACTTCCCTTATTTTCTGTTTAGAGAAGTCACGGCCAAAAGCCTAGCACCAGTGATTTTTTTTTTTTACTCGCCATGGTACTTGAGCAATAGTCGGCTCAGTTGCAGTGGCAGTGAACTAAAAGGTGTCACCAAGCTATTGATAAGAGAATAGCAAAAGGGAACTACCATGCAGTGAAGCATACTGCCTGCTGTCATTACATTGTCAGAAATTGGATTAACACACTGCTTTGAGACCACAGAAAGCTTCCCAGTACTATACATATGTTTCACAAAGATGTGGATTGAGTTGTAAACAAGACTGGGCATTTCATGTAACCTTGGAGAAAACAAATTTGCAAACTCCCACTTTTACACTAAGGAATGTCCAGGACATGCAGAATTTTCAGATGAGCTCAAGGTAGGCATATTTTATATTTTGAATTAACAATATATCAATCCATTTTATAATCTCCTTTGGGCTCAATATATACAGGTTTGACTGTTAATATTAGTGCACAGTCTACACCCCTAAAGCTATCCTAAATATCTCAGAAAGTTGCTATGTGGTACACACATTTATTGATGCACAATGCAAACCTCGACAGCCACAGCTGCAGGTATATGCCGTCTAAACTTGGCAAATATACACAGAAATCTTTAAATTCCAGAGCATTTATTTCCATCTCTCTAACCACACAAAACTCAGTACAGTAAAAGTTTGCTGATTCAACCATCATAAATTTATAAAGTCAGGTAATTCAGACTTGTTCTCTGAGCCTGGCTAATGTATCCATTATTTTTCATCAAAAACTCTCAATAATTTGAATATATTTTGCCTCACACCCGTTAATTCAGACAATCCTCATAGCATGCCAAGCATTAAAGGTGCAAATGCGTGATGCAAATAAGCAAATCTGGTATTAGTGTCCAGCCAAATGAGGCACAGCACAGTTTACATCGCCATCATCATCAATGCAAACTACAGGTAATGACAGGGAGGCCAGAATGCATCATGCCTTCCTGTGGCTACCCCCTATAACTATTACACTGGTGGTCACGGGCTCTCAGAAAAGTGTGGCTATGAGCCATGATTGTTGGTGACAAAGGGTTCATCCACAGCTGCAGTAGCAAACTAGGGTTGTTTTGATTGAGTGCATGCGAAATGTGTGAATGCTAGCCATGATCACTTCGATAGTAAATATTGTTTCATTACCAACAGCTGCGGGAAAAGTACAGTAAAACCTCATTTATTCAAAGTCACTGGGACCATGACAAATCTTTGCATTAGGAGGGCTTTCAAATTAACAAAACATACAAAAAGTTGGATGCAAGGAATTTGAAACTATCAAAAGTATAATCAGGGCTGGTGATTTGCTGTGCTGGCTAATTTGCGGTTCCAAGGATTATGTGGTTTTTCCATTTTTACAGTTTTTCTGCAAACAAAGGGGAATGCCGGACATCACTGCTGCATTGGAAAAAAAGAAACGTTTTTTTGATGAAATAAAATGCGTGCCTGCAGAAAATAAGACATCTTCACTGCAATACGGTAGTGATACGCGGGCAGTATGTCACTTGCTTCACGCTGCATCAACACGTCATGATGAGACCATTCGCCCATTCTTTCTAGTAAAATAAAAAACTTAGTAAAAGACAGTGTGACGAAATTCAAAATTTTTTGGGTGGCAAACATGATCACTGTAGCTTTTGAACAGAGTTTCCAAATTAGACATAGCACGCAAGAACTCCGGCAGCAGTGCAAGCACGCAAATTGGTGGAGCAACTCACACTCAGTGGTTTGGATACATCGTGGATTCTGAGAGATTGTCCTTTCTTAATTTCTTTATATTCCCAGAAAGAATGGGTAAATCATGACACGCTGACCTTGCAAAGAAGCATGTCTTGTTTTTCGCCGGCGCACATTTCAGCTGGTCACGAGACAGTTTTTTTTTTAGCCGATCACAAGACAGTTTCAAATTTTATTTTTCATGCTGGAAGTATCGAGGCTGGGATACTTCAGCTGCCACTCAGTGGTATCACTAGAGTTCATTGTCTAGTGGCTTTCAAGGGCTGACATTTCCGTGGCTTTGCGGCGAAATCGAAATTGGGAATTGGTACACTGCACCCAAAGTTTTCTAATTAACTGGATTGGAACTGACTGCCACTTCAATTATCCACTCAAACTTACATTGCAAGATACAGGACCGCTGAAGTAGTATTTCAAAATAACAGAGTTTGAATTAATGAGGTTTTACAGTAGTTTCCTCATGATACAGTGCTTGTAGGCTCTGTGTCCCTTTAGAACTACAAGAACGCTATCTTATCACAGGGGTGGAACAGAGTCCATGAATTTGAGAGCAGTCCTGAGAACAGGCAAAAGTATCTTTTATAGCAAGCTTGGAGCAGCCGAAAAGACCTTTTGGAGCAGGCTTGGAGCAGCCAGAAGGGCCTTTTCGTGCAAGTTTAGAGCAGTTAGAACATTCGGAGCAGATGTGGCCCCGTTACACACCACTCGTTAAGCAATACAATGCTGCATTTTTCAAACACTTACTAAATTCTGCAATAGTAAATACATCGACACATTCGACTGGTTTTTGCTGTTGCCATTATGTTTCATATAAAGCCCATATTGACAACTTAACCCTGTGCATTGCGTGATCTACCCGCGCGTAAAGCGCACGAATGGGGGAAATGATGGCAGCTGAAACGAAGATCACAATCATTGCGGCTGATGAAGCAAAGATCGCGAGTCCATCTCCATCGTTATGAGGGTGCATGAGACAACATCCACCGGCTCTGGAGGCAGCGCTCCACCAGTCTTGAAAGAGCATGAAAAGAAGCGAGCGAGGGGGGTGAGGTATCGCCCTAGCAGCAACTGTGAGAGAGAGAGAGAGAGAGAAAAGACATTTATTTGGTCCAGAAGAAAGAGGATGAGATGCGTATACATCCAACTCCTGACTAGACCAGCAACTGTGAGCTTTGCTTCTATAGGCGTCGTAGTCGCGATCGTTGGTGCGCAAGCTATCTTGGCAGCCATCAGCAGGCGGCTAACTACGTGTCGCACTCTTATTGCGAGAAGACTGCGTGAAGCGCTGTTCTCTGGAGTGGTCATATCTCATACACCAGCATTTCATAGAGTTACGCAAGATTGGATCCAAGAGAGTTAGCTGCCAGCCTCACTTCGTATAACATTTCCATTCGTTGCTATCGCATTCGTTGCTTCACCCTTGCTGTGCTACTGTAATTGTTTTAGCTATGTACAGCCGCCCATTATTTAACCTGAAAACGCAAGCATCAAGTGCGGCAAAATGAACGAGAATATGCGCATGCATGAAGAATAAAAGAAGCCTCCTCATTGGGAAGATGGGAAACAAGGTGACTTTATTGCCCAGAGCACCGTTGCATGAATGCGTCCCCCCCCCCCCCCCCCCCATTGACGGCCGTTCCAAATCGGTCGTCACGCACTAGTCCCATCATCATCCTTCTTCTAATATTCAACAATGTGCTTGATGAGCAGTACGGTACACCTGTATTTGCTAGGCTGCTCTGGGAACTGGACATCATCCTCGCTTCTTTTTAGCACTGTTACTGCCGTCATTTTTTTTTTCTTTTCCGACCGCTGCCACTAGGTTATAAAAAAACAGCTTCACTGCAAGGCCAAAGGAATGAATGCTTTCGGAAGAAATTGTAAGGCTGGCAGCCAACTCTTCTAAATATGATATTGCGTAACTACAAAACGTTGGTGTAAGAAGATACGGCTGCTCCAGGAAAAGATGCCCTTTTCACAATCTTTTCAGGTTACGGGCACAGCATGTAGAAAAATAGAAGGATTCACAAGCCATTTGCTCTGATGCCTGTCATTATAGCGCGGACCGGTCACAGCCTTGTCGAAACCGAAACTATAACCCTATCAATGAAACCAAAAACACGACGTTTCAGCCTTGTTTTGGGGTATGGGCTATCTCAATAATGATGATGGTGAACCCTGCGCCAACTATCACTCGATACCTGTTAACCCTAAATGCAGTTTACCTGCGGGACACATGTGCACCACAAGGCGCACACGACTTTACAGGGGGTAATAGCACCCCCACGGGCTTCATGGCTGTCGGACGTTGTGGATAAATTTTGGTTCTGATGAAGTGTGGTGCTGATAAACGAGCTTGGCACAACAGGGGCGGTTCGACGCAGAATAGTGCAGGTAGACACATTTGGTGCACAATGGCACAAATGGTGCAGCTGTTCCATTACTGTTTTATCGTGTAACTACTGATCACGGTTTCGTCTGCAGCAGATGTAATGTCTACATTTCGTAATGTTCTGACTGTGCGTGTGCAAGAAATATGCGTACCCTCAGAACTTCAAAGGTGTTTTATGATTGTGTCGCTGGCGATCACAGTTTAATCCATAGTGTAAACGGCAGCTAGTATAGTTATGTTTTGACTCTAAGCATTGTGCACGCACAGTCACAAAAGTCAAAACATAGATGCTGTTGAAGATTAAGAGCAGTAAACTACCATTACTGGTCAGTTTACCGGCAAAAAAAAATATTGTAACATATAGCTGGTTGGTAATGGTTGTGGTAGTGGCAGTATGGAGGTTGAAAGGGGAAAGAATTCAGATCAATTAAGACATGAAAACCCTGCACCCTGGTCACATTGTGAAAAAGTCAGATTATAAGAAGTGAGAGTTTAAAGGCCAACAGCAACGAAATTTCGCACTCCACAAAAAGTCAATATATAGGTAGTCTAGCTACAAATAGTGCTGTCTGCCAAATGTCGCTTTCGAAATACAAGTGCTTCCCTTAGAAAATAACTCGCAAACAACGGTGTTTTTGAGACCGAAACTAGAAAAAATGACACCATTATGGCTGACCAGAAGTGACATGAACAACAGAAAAATCGTCTGCTTCGCGCTCCTCGAGCACGCACATTGCGGAAACGCCCCTTAGTGTTAACTTAAGAAAGCTGCGTGAATATGCCTTTTATCGGACGCTGGTCCAGACTTCCCACTGGTGGGTTTCCAGTGTCCGATCCCCGTATTCAGAAACGCTGCTTGACTTGAATTTGACTTTCTATCGACTTCAATGCAGCATGAACATGTTTCGAACGCACTGTCTTTAGGCGGTGTAAAGGCAGCACAGACGCACAGAGCGATTCAGCGACAGGGAGGATTGCTCACAAGGAGTGACGCGGTGACGTTCCGTAGTAATTGTCATATCCGGTTCTGTCCGATTCGCCAGGGCACACCGCTAGAGCTCCGTGTCGTCTGCTTGCTGGCAATTATAGCACCGTTTATAAATTTAATTTAACACAACTGCAAGATTTTTCACTGCCGTTATCGTAACTTACTGTATGTATACTACTCATTTATGGCCGTTTCTGCCCATGTAAAATTTAGTTGCACTTGGCGTTTAATACTGCTTTTATGCAAAATATGTACTGGATTAGCATATTCATTGAGAAAATAGAAGTGCATCAATGTAGTACACATCTGGACTGAGTTTTCTGATACTCTTGATAATTTGAAATTCAGTATTCTGGGAAATTCTTTTCTGATCCTGTGAAATCCAAATAAACAAGAACTCTGCAACCACGGAAAAAAAGTCAATAGACTTCATATCACATATGCATGACACATCCCCCCCAGGCTCAACGTTCATGTATGTTGGATAAGCTCGCTCAATTAGCTTTCACCAATCTCTTGCCACCTGAAGCTGGGCACCATCCCTGAATGTGAAAACTCCCACAGTTTTGTCATCATGCAACTTCCTATGCAATTCAATGTTCATGCCCACATGCCAGGATAAAGATGGCTTGTTTTGTGATGCATTCTTTCGGTGGAACCACATTACAGCAGCTCCGTATCCGTCGTTATAAGCATGCGATGACAGATGAGGTAAAAAATTAAGGTAAATTTAAAAGCTTTCCAAGGTTGTCGCACATGGTGACAAGCATGTCAGTATTATTTCAAAGCAAATGCAAGTTTATTAACTCTTTGCTTATATACAGTCGACTCTCATTAATTCAAACTCGAAGGGACCTCTGAATTTTGTTTGAATTATCAAGAAGTTTGAATTATCAGAAGTTCTTAGATAGGTGACTGTGGGCAAGGCGATGCCACACATTATGATTAAGCATTGATTTTAGATTGATTGATTGATATGTGGGGTTTAACGTCCCAAAACCACCATATGATTATGAGAGACGCCGCAGTGGAGGGCTCCGGAAATTTCTACCACCTGGGGTTCCTTAACGTGCACCCAAATCTGAGCACACAACATTTCCTACAACATTTCCGCCTCCTTAGGAAAAGCAGCCGCCGCAATCGAGATTCGAACCCACGACCTGCGGGTCAGCAGCCGAGTACCTTAGCCATTGGACCACCGTGACGGGGGCAAGCATTGATTTTAGCACATTTAAAATTTTTCAAGTGTTTTTGAGCCCTAACTGCATAGATTGAACAGAAAGCAGAGGTGTTAAGTGCGCAAGTTTATTGGCCATTTACTGCTGATCAGACCTTTCAAAGAAATCGTGGATTGCCAACTGCTTTATTGCTATAGGTATGTGCCTTTAGCACAAAGCTCTCTATACCAGTTGAGAAGCTTAACGGTTTACGATGGATGTGCTTCATTTTAAACATTTGTTTACTTGCAAAGCCTTTTTCCTTGAAGGCCTCAGGTGCTTATTTTTCATTTTTAGACTGTTGGGATTATATAAGCACACAAACTTTTAAATAGTAGTGGGAAAGCAACAGTTATTTTCTGGCATGAACCTGCAAAATGTATGAATTAACCAAATAATGAAGTTTCAATTAAAAGGCTTTTAAATACATTGAAAAAATAGAAGGCCAACCAAAAAATTGAATTTTGTTTGAAAAAACCAAAAGTATGAATTATCAGTTTGAATTATGACGAGTCTACTGTATGTGATGCACACAGTGAAACAGAAATGTGTCTAGGTGTGCTGAATTAGAGTACTGTACGACAGGTAAATCTTCATAACTTTGCATTATCTACTAATCCAGTCTCTTCATCTATCTGAAAAAAGAAGCGGTGACTCAAGCATGGACGAAGAAACATCACACGAAGACGGTCGCTGTCTTCATGTGATGTTTTTTCATTCATATTTGAATTAGCACTGCTCTTTTTATTTCAGATGGATCCGTATCAACAAGCTGGCATCCATTCACTTTGAAGTTCTTTATCAACAGAGTCTGTTCTTTGCCCAAATACCATACAAGTGAGTATTGATTCACAAGCAAAATCTTCACGCAAGTCAAAATAAATCAAATAGGGAGGAGCTGATGAGCTGAACTAGGGCTTCACTGCAACGGATCCTGTGGAGAAATTAAACAAGAAGCAGCGCCTAACCTGAAGAGCCTGAGAATAGGCATGCAGAGCATGACGCCGATGGGCTGCCTTTGCAAAGCGGTGTCCAGATAGCACCAGGTGAAAGGCGAATTTTCGTGGGCAGATTGGTGTCGCACGTAAGAAGCACAGGGCTGCTTGCTCCAGTAGCAGGGCACTGCGCAGGTCTGATCCCTCACTAGTAAGCCGTATCAGTTGTCCAGCTGCCACTGACGCCTGGCCCACTTGCCATAGGCACTCGGCACTTAGTAGTGCTGCTCGTGTTGCCAGTTGGGGCACTCTGGGAGAAGCGAGAGCCATATTTACCAAAAATTTTAAACACCCAACCGAACCCCAAGCAATTACAGTCTCTGCACACCATAAACCCACATAGAGCCGAAGGTATGACATAAAATGCAATAACACCTCGAAAAGTACTCTAAATAGGCATAGAATATTTCCATGCACATGCACTTCCCGAGATCAGCCTTTTTCTTTTCAGTTGAAACTGAAATTTATGAAATCACAGAGCAATAAAGTGGTAATGTACAAACTGATATGCTGAAAGAATCCTGCACGCACAAGAAAGCAACAGCAAGACTAAGGCATGCAGTTGATGGATGTAGAATATATCAGGGTAACCACCCACTTTTCTGTAATAGTATGCGTCCAAAGGAATGTTTTGTTTAAAACAAAGATAACATAATTTGAAACAACCCTGTTTTTAAAAATAATAAAAGAGGCTTTTTAACACTATTTTTGCTTGTATCACAGAGCTAGAAATGGAGAACATTATAGCATGAGATGCAATGCATGGATAACGAAAGCTCATTTTCACATGACTTCTGCTCAATGTAGCATGATGTAAAGATAAGTTGTTTGCCCTGTGTTTGTGATGTCTCTACATACTCCATGTCTCCATCTAATTCACAATGGCAACATATTTCACAAAAACAGCAGGGCCTTAAATTTCCGGCTCCAGTTCATTTTTGAAGATTCCGCACCTCACAAGAACATGCTAGGTTTATGGAAACCCATGTATTTTCACTGATAGAGCCCAAGGCATGCTATTGAGACTATATTAGAGACTGCCCTTCTGGCACTGGCATAAAACCCTCCTTCCAAAGTGTGACCACACTTAACCACATGACTAAACCAATCTTGCAACCCAGTTTGTGCCATGAGGGGATATCGCAATGCAAATAACGTACGAGTTGTGCAGAGAAAACATCAATTGGGGACGCAAGAGAGTTCAGCATCCCCACAGAATATATGAAAAAGTGCTCCACCAAGATTTCGTTCAGGCTACTCCACAATAGACCATATTCATACTATCAATCAGGTAATAGAGAAATGTGTGAAATACAACCAGCCTTCATACAGAGCCTTCATAGATTACGAGAAAGCATTTGACTCGGTCAAGACATCAGCAGTAATGCAGGCATTATGGAATCAGGAGATTGAAGAAGCCTATATAAACTTGGTGAAAGAAATCTACAATGGATCCACAGCCACCATAGTTCTCTAAAAAGAGAGCGACAGAATCCCAATAAGGAAGGGTGTAAGACAGGGAGACGATCTCTCCAATACTATTTACCGCGTGTTTACAGGAGGTTTTCAGGACCCTAGATTGGGAAGAGCTACGGAAGAGTATCTTAGCAACCTACAACTCACTGATGACATTGCCTTGAGTAACTCAGGGGAGGAATAACAGCTTATGATTAAAGAACTATACACGGAAAGCAGAAGAGTAGGTCGGAAAATTAGTGTGCCCAAAACAAAAGTAATGTGTAACAGTCTCAGCAGAAAACAGCACTTTGAGATGGGTGGAGAGACGCTGGAAGTTGTAAAGAAATATGTCTACTTAGGACAAGTGGTAATCGCGGAGCCGAACCATGAAAGTGAAATAACTAGAACAACAAGGATGGGGTGCATCACATTCGACATGCATTCTCACATCACGAATGGTAATCTGCCACTAACCCTCAAGAGGAAGGTATATAACAGCTGCATCTTGCCAGTACTTGCCTACGGAGCAGAAATCTGGAGGCTTACAAAGAGGGTTCAGCTTAAACTGAGGGCAACGCAGAGAGTGATGGAAAGGAATATGATAGTTTAAGGGACAAGAAGAGAGCCGAGTGGTCTAGAGAACAAACCAGATTTAAGGATATCATAGTTGAAATAAAAAAAAATGGACATGGGCCGGGCATGAAGCACATAGGCAGATAACCGCTGGTCATTTAGGGTAACTGACTGGATTCCCAGAGAAGGTAAACGCATGAAGGGGAGACAAAAAGTTAGGTGAGCCTATGAGATTAAACAGTTCGCAGGTATAACGCGGAAATGGAAACACAAGACTGGGTTGATTCGCGGATCATGAAAGAGGCCTTAACCCTGCAGTGGGCGTAGTCACACTGATGATGATGATGATGATGCACCACCATCTTCTCTTAACATAGGTATAAAAGAATGTACTATTTTGGCACTAGGCTGTACCTCCAGTACACTGAAAATGAATCTCTCAAAGGAGTCTGAATTCTCGCTATGAATTGTATTGTTTAAAGGGTAAAAATTTCAATGACAGAACAGAAAAGCCACACATATACAGCAACTTAGACAAATAAACAAAATCATAGCAACTTCAACCACTGCCTTGCATTAATAAAGTTCCACTGTTCCACTCTGCTATATGCTGGTATGCAGAGGCTGCTTTCTGCCATTTGCAGTACTGTACTAGCCGGCTCAGCTTCATTATAGCATAACACAACAACATAGCATAACTTTAAGAAAATGACAGCTAACAAACCAAAATGTCGTGTTGCTTTCCTACTTGACGAGTCAAGAAGCACTTTTCATTGGCAAGGCATTTCTTATGAAATTGTGACAAGGCAGTGACACTTGGAAGATAAAATCACAATGAAACCATCTAGCAGTAGGCAGAAACAGACAAGAATATCACTATGCACAAGTCCTCTTAAACTTTAACAAACACTAATAAAGCACAGAGTACTCAGCTTTAGAACCTGAAGAAAATACAACATGTTTTTGTACATGCACTAAAAAACCACAGAAAAATGGGTTTCATATAAGCTTAGCAACCTCTGAACAAAATGGCTCCAATATTAACTCACTTGCAGGTATTGAGGTAGAGGTCAATAGCAGAGTCCATATAACGTACAGGGAAGGGTCTCTGAGCGCTGACTCCAGCCATAAACACTGCTAGAGCAGCCATCTCCTGCAGAAAAAAAAATACATGAGTGGATATAGTGAAGGTTTAATCATGTTTGCAAACAACTTATTCATTTTGTAACACAAGGTCTCCATACCCATTTACATCTTCGTATGAGCATAGAAAAGAACTGAAAAGGTCCATGTAATAGATAGACATATCAATGTATTTTTTAGTTTAAAGGATTCAGACTGATTACAGACAGTTTACACAATTATAGCCATAAAAAAGAATATCACCTCACATTTCTCCCACTAAGACTATGAAAATTTCTATCATTGCAGCAGCACAAACGCATAGCCGACCATATTTGACTTTAGCACAAACACATAACGCGTACAGATGCAAAAGTACAAAAATACTGAGCATGAAAAACACTGCATCAAGACAGAAAAAAACAATCAGAAAGAAACACACATACACTGCTCTACGCTGTGTGTGCATGCTTCTTTTCACTTTCTTTGTCACATCTCGGCATGCTGTTTTTCACGCTCAGTGAGCATTGAATGATGCACTAACAGGCAGTGTTATAAATATACAGATACAGTACAACCTCATTAATTTGAACTCTGTTATTTTGAAATCCTCCTTGATACGAAATATATCTGCTGTCTCATATTTAGCAATGTAAATCTGAGCAGATAATTTGAAGTGGCGGTCAGCACCGGTCCGATTAATTTGAAAACTTTGGCTGCCATGTGCTAATTCCCAATCCTGATTTTGCTGCAAATCTGCGGAAACAACGGCCCTTAAGAGTCATAAGACAATGCAATGTAGCGATACTAATGAGTGGCAGGTTATCACATCAAACCTAGATACTTCCAAAGTGAAAAAATAAAAAATAAGTCACAGTTTTGCCACAAGGGCGAAGCAAGGAATGCGATAGCAACAACTTGCTTCTGATCTGCTAGCCGCTAATAACAGCAAGCACATCCAAATGTGCAGCGCGCTGCTCATGCACAAATAACGCACAAAAACAGCACACACAGGACGAGAGCAAACAAACTACATTTACAGCTCAACACTAAATGCACTGTTTAAACAAATATGATGCACAAAATGTAATCACAGGTACAGATATGAGTGCAAACTAACAAGTGTACAAGTTGTTACTTCGCTGTGTTTGAAAAGCAGGCTCTTTTCACAAACAGGGCCTGTGCAGCAAGCGAAGTGATCTTTGTGCACCTAGCAACTAAAAGCAATCATTCCGGTGAAAGCCGAAGGCTTGCGATTCTGCCCCACCACAGGATAAACATGAGGATAAGGCCTTTCCCCCTACGCCGCGCAAAGTACGCGTAGGAGATAAGCGTGCATTGGCGCATCACGACAAGCTGGGCTTTATGCCGAGCGTGCTCATCGTGCTATCTCACTGGTAATGCTGAAAACATGCTATTTCCTCCGAGACAGGCGTCGCCAGCTCTAAATGGTAGATATAAATAGCTTGCCATTTCTATGTTGAAGGAGGTGCTCCTTCGTAGCTCAGTGGCTAACGCCGTGCGCTCAGGAACGAAAAGTCTGACATTCAATTCCGTGTGCTGGAGTCTTTTTCTGGACTATTTTTCTTTCTTGCGTTTTAATATATATGAAATGTATACATATACGGTGAATGACGGTTAACTCCAAAGCCTTTGGCAAAAACCAGCCGAGAGTGTCCATATAATTTAAAAAACGGTCTAGTGATTAACCGAAATGAGTGCCTGCGGAAAACAAAATGTGCTTTACTGCAGTATAGCGGTGATGCGCGGGCAGCATATTGCATGCTCCTTGCAACATCAGTGCATCATGATTTACCCATTCTTTCTGGGAATATAAAGAAATTAATAAAGGACAGTTTAGCAGAATTCGCAATGTATGCAAACCTCAAATTGCCAGTTGCTCCAGTAATTTGTGCACTTGCACTGCTGCCAGTGCTCTTGCCTGCAATACCTACTTTGAAAACTTAAGTTTGGAGGCTTCTATGATCATGTTTTCCAGCCATAACACATTGTAAATTTTGTCATAATGGCCCTTATAAAATTATTTATTTTACCAGAAATATTGGGGGAATAGTCTCATCATCACGTGCTGACTTAGCGAGGTGCAGGCAACATTCTGCTCCTGTGTCATCACTGTGTTGCAGTGAAAATGTCTTGTTTTTTGCAGGCCCACATTACAGTTGATTATGACTGCTCCTCCTTCACCGCCACGGTGATAGCAGTGAGGCCCGTTGTTCCCCATGTTGGCGGCAAAATTTGGACCAGGCATTGCTGGAAAACATGACCCTTTAGGCCGCAAACAAGCAGGCAAAGTAAATAACTATCAATGATTACTTCGAATATTTCTTAGTTCCTTGTATCCCACTTTTTGTATGTTCTGTCAATTCAAAAACCTGCTTAATTTGAAGATTTCTTACAGCCCCAATGACTTCAAATTAACGAGGTTTTACTGTATATGGACACTAAATCTAAGACAAATTTTTCTCAGGAGGGATATAAGCTGAAAAAGCCCTTATGAGCTCTGGGTATTGCAACCTAACATGCATGCCTAGTAGATTACATGCTAGGTATTGTGTTTGCAAAGTATGGAACAGGTGCATAGCACAAAAATTGTCTAACCTTCAAATAGAAGGCTGCAAAGTTCCTTGAAGATTTTTTTGTGTGCGTCTACATGTGTGCGTGCGTGCGTGTGTGTGTGCATGTGCACGCGTGGGTGTGTGTGTGTGTGAGAGAGAGAAAATAAAACCTGTACACATGCATGCCTGCATAGCAGCTGCTCCCTTGAACATCACTAAGCACGTGAACCACAAAATGATGACAGTGTGTATTGCCACGTTCCTTTTCCCAAGTTTTGTTATCGCCTCAATGCACTATGCAATTCTCAGCGCAAACCGCGCCTGCAGTCTTCGAGAAGCTTCAGGACTGTAATAGATCATTTCAATAAGATCATGCCCCCTCCGGGAACTATACAGATTATTCTAAAACCTGCATCGCCATTAGGGATAACGCTAGAACATTCGATGGCAAGTTTATAAATGCTGACGCGCTTCGACACTTATCAGTTGATCGACGGCCGACGCTGCATGCGCCACTATCAGTGCAAGTGTGCTACCATAACCCGACTTTTCGTTTAGCGGGCACAGGTTCGCCCAAATAAATAGTTTGCTTTGATTATTCCATCTCCTGCCTTCAACCACGTCACGACCTCGTGACATCTGGTGGGGGAGCTGCTTCGTTCATGTACCGGACGCCCCAGTCAAGCCGTGAACCCAGCCCACATCGTGGAGAAGACACCGACGCGCACCAGGAGCTGCGAACAAGCCCCCAGCAGCAAGGTCTACCACCGGAGTATGGGCCTCTATAAGACAAGGCGCGGAAGACCAAGGCCATGACCTCTACTGTGGTGACAATGACAACCGCAGCATCCCAGCCCGCGATCGTCATGCATCAACCCAGAGAACCACCATACGACCATGGGTCATACGACCATGTGGCTGCCCTCAGCCACTACGACACTGAAGAAAACCTTTGTCCTGTGTCTTTCTACCTGGAAGACACTGCAAGGACCTGGCTTGAAAATCGGGAGTCTGCGCTTCAAACATGGGATGTCTTGTGCGGTGCATCCCTGCAAACGTTTGCGAGCGTCACTCGCAATGAGAGGGCCACTGCTTTACTAGAGACTCGGGTTCAGCTACCAAATGAAAATGTTGTCATTTTCACAGAAAAAAACGACCCGCCTATTCCGTCACGCTGACCCGGACATGCCCGAGGAGAAGAAAGTTCATTTCCTGATACGAGGAGTCAAACAGGAGCTTTTGGCGGGACTGATGAGGAATCCACCGAACACCGTTTAAGAATTCGTATCGGAGGCGACCACTATCGAAAAGAGCCGGAACATGCGCACCAGACAGTATAATCGTCGTCTGACTCCAGACTGTGCTGCTGCAGAAGCCACTGACTCAAGAGACCTGCGTGAAATGATCCGAGCGATCGCGCGGAAAGAGCGGCGCAAGCTATTGCCTTCGGCGCAGCCTCAAGTGGATTCGATCGCCGACATTGTGCGAGAAGTTTGGAAATCGCTTCAAATTCTCCAAGCACCGCTGCCCGAGCCGGAAGCTATGAGCTACGCCGCTACAGTGTGCCACAACGCTCCTCCCCGTCCACGCCAAAACGCGGCCCCGTCGCACTTCCATCGCCAGACGCCACCGCTGCCATAACCCCCACCGACGTCCTACCGTTCGCCAGCGGGCCAGCGCAGTGCGCCGAGGAAAACGGACGTTTGGCGTGCATCTGAATACCGCCCGCTCTGCTTCCACTGCAATGAGGTCGGGCACATCTACCACCGTTGCCAGTACCGACAGATGGGACTGCGTGGCTTCGCCGTCAATGCACGACGTCCGCAGCCAGGAGAATGGCCACGTGACATCGCCGACTACCTGGCAGGAACTCAATGGACACCACGAAGTCCTTCCCATTTGCCGTCGCCCAGCCACCGCATGTCACCGCACCACCGGCAGTACTCTGGCCCAACTCGGTGCCAGTCTCCTAGCCAGTATCCGGGAAACTAAGGGTAGCAACTGATGGAGGTGTGGTTGCTGTGTGACGAACTACCGAAGATCCTCTGACGCTGACGACGCCGCGATGGAGCTTTCCGAACACGACGCCAACCAGACAAAGTCCTGACGACAAAACCTCACTTACCGAAGGTGACCTGACGACACAACATGAAAGCAGCAGAACAAGCTGATGCATCCGTAACCCGACGCCATGGCCTAACTGCAACGCGAGACAGTGAACTAGCGACCACGACGTTCTTATCGACAGCCACAGTGTGACCGCTCTCATCAATACTGAAACCGACTGACTATTCAGTCATCAGTGGGTCATTTGTCACGAAGTTGAAGAAAGTTAGGACAGCTTGGGAAGGGCCTGAAATCCGCACAGCCGATGATGATGATGAATGATATGTGGGGTTTAACGTCCCAAAACCAACATATGATTATGAGAGACACCGTAGTGGAGGGCTCCGGA